AAGGGAAAGGGAGCTCTTTCTACCAATAACTGGAGCTGCAGGGTCACTCTTGAAGCCTGAGAATGAAGCCAACTCAAAGGGAAACAGAGTCAAGAGCTGAAGAGACAGATCCCTGATGATGCTGTTGTGAGTCTTGGAATACGGCCTGAGGCCCCATCTGACCATGGCCTTGTCAGCATCACAAGCCAGTGAATCCCCCATCCACCCTAAGCCAACTGGAAAGAGTCCCAACCGAGGTTTCTCCCATCAGCCCGCTCTTCTGGGAGTACTGTGAAGACAAAGAGACTTTCTTCTCTGGGGTTTTAAAGGTAATTATCTGGTGACAGATTGTCCCAGGGGTGAGAGCCACCATGGAGACAGAGTCCAGCTGGTCTTTCCTAGGATACATAAGACTGTCAACAGTCTTTCTAACAGTATCAGTCTATAATTATAGACTCTTTTACTGTTTGCAGTAGCTATTGTTTCTGCCTTCCAAGCACCTTGCTTTGGTGATGGGCTCTGCTGTATCTCCACCATGGGGGGATGGAGGAAAGCTCATGACCCATATCAGGTTTATTGCAGGGCCTTGGCTGAGGTGATTAATCTAAGAGGGTATGGGACTCACCAGAAGTCACTGAGAACCTTTCTGTGGGACTTTCCCAAATTAGAACTGGAGGGAAGAAGCCTTTCTTTCAGGGTCACCAAGCTGGGAGGGTACAAGTTTGGAGCTATCAGCTGCCACGTGCCCCAATGCATGGAGAAAGCCCGTTTGCAGTAGAAGAAAAGGAAGCCAACACACAAGCCTAGGAGAGCTTGCTTATTGTCTCCTTATGCTGAATCTTCCCCTCTCCCTTTTATTGTTAGAATCTCCCTCCTCAGAGTTTTGGCTACCCAGTGTGACTAAATTTACAGCTTCCCTTGTACCTAAGTACGGCCGTGCGACAAGACAGGAGCAGCTTCACTATTTGAGGACTTCATGGGGCCCAGCCTCCTACTTGCTCTAATAACCTGCCTATTCCTGCATTCTTAGGTGAGAGAGAAGTAACCTTCTAACTTGCTGGAGCCATGGTATTTCCATGGCTTCTTTGTTACAGTGGTCTAGTCCATACCTTTACTAATGTGCAGATGAAAAAGATATAGAAAATAGGGGCACCTGAGTGGCTCAGTCAGTTAAGCCTTTAGATCAGGTCATGATCACAGGGCCCTGGGATTGAGCCCCTCTTCAGGTTCCTTGCTCAGCGGGGAACCTGCTTCTCCCTCTCCCTCTGCCTGCCGCTCCCCATTTGTACTCTCTCTTTCAGTCAAATAAATAAATAAAATATTTTAAAATAATAAATAAATAAATAAATAAATAAAATCTTAAAAAGATATAGACGATAAAGAGCTATATATGGGGTTTAAATCTCTGGAATTGTTGTCCCTGCAATGGTAACATTATTACCTACAGAGTGCTAGTAGCCATCTTTGATGTTTACACATAGTAGCTCATTTAATCCGAACCAATTCTGTTGGGGTACTATTGTCATTCCCATTGCATAGCTTAGGACATAGAGCAGAGAGATAAAGTAACTTGTCTAAGGTCCATACTATACTGCATCTCAAGCTAGTCTTTTCCATGATTTCTTGTGCAAGCCAATAAAACCCCTTTCTTACTTAAATTGGCTCAAGCTGGATTTCTGACACTTGTAACAAAGCAGTCTAAATGGATTTTTGTCTAATCCAGCTTGCAGATTCCTCTATAGAGTGCCAACCATATGGTACGGAATTTTAAGACACTATTTCTTGACTGCAAGCAAGATAATTCTCCCATGAAACCTGCTCTGATTAGCTTCTTAAACCACAACTGCAGTTTAACAACAGGGCACACTGCAAGGGGACAGTCTTCTCAGAAGGAACTGTCTGTGGCAGACACTGTTGGATAATTCATCCAATATCCACTCCCAACTCCCTTACCCTTGCCTGTCTGAAAAAGCAAAATACTCTCTCAGTTTTCTGTATAGCGAGGATTGGCCAGATGATACGATCCGGGGCAATGAAAGGTATTATAGCGGGGAGGAATTCCAGCATAGTGATAAAAACTACGGGCTGGGGGCACCTGGGTGGCTCGGTGGGTTAAAGCCTCTGCCTTCGGCTCAGGTCATGATCCCGGGGTCCTGGGATCGAGCCCCGCGTTGGGCTCTCTGCTTTTTTTTTTTTTTTTAAAGATTTTATTTATTTATTTGACAGAGATCACAAGCTGGCGGAGAGACAGGCAGAGGGCGGGGGGGGGGGAGCAGGCTCCCCACTGAGCAGAGAGCCCGACGCGGGGCTCGATCCCAGGACCCCGGGATCATGACCTGAGCCGAAGGCAGAGGCTTTAACCCACCGAGCCACCCAGGTGCCCCTAAATAAATAAAATCTTTAAAAACAAAAAACTATGGGCCGTAGGGGCACCTAGCTGGCTCAGTCATTTAAGCATCTGCCTTTGGCAAAGGTCACAACCCCAGGGTCCTAGGATAGAGCCCTGAGTCAGGCTCCCTGCTCAGAGGCGAGTCTGCTTCTTCCTCTCCCTCTGCCCCTCCCCCTGTTTGTGCTCTCTCAAATAAAATAAAATAAAATAATATGAAGAAAATAAAAATCTTTAAAAGTATGGGCTCTAGAACTAGAATGCTTTGACTTACTGTCATATTAGGTGTATAAATTTGGGCACTTTACTTAACCTCCTGTTCCTTGAGGACAGTAAGTGTATCTACTTTATGGTGGTTGTATTAAAAAGTTAACAAATGTACAGAACTCATAAGAGTAACTGGTACTTGGTAAACACTCTATAAATATTAGCAATTGCCATTTTTGTCACCTGTATGTGCCAAATATGGAACATCTCTAAGGCGTATCATTAAGTAAAAGCAGCAAGATGAGAACAGCACATCTACCATGTGCTCGCATTTCTATGCATAGAGAGGCTAAGGTACACGTATCTATCTGCTCGTGCCTGCAGACTGTCTCTTGTAGGACATACCCAAAACTGTTCAGTAGCTGCCTCTGGGAAGTAGAACATGGAACTGGGATTCTGGATTGGGAAATTCTACTTCACTGTATGTCCCCTCTTTACTAACTGGATTGGATTTTTGCAATCAGGTACTTGAGTTACTACTTAAGGCTTTTAAAATCATGTTTAGGAGGCTTTAAACAATCCCACTTTCTCTTAATTTCCATTGTTCACAACAAAATAGGCAGTCAAAAAAAATGATATGTCAATTACATCTCAATGAAGCTGGAAAGGATAAACTGAAAAGGAAAATGGACAGTCAGTTGCATGGCGGTCAGCTTCTTTTTAGAGGTATTCAAACACAGGCTGGATGGCATTCTGTTAGATGCCCTGGAATATCTCACTAGCTAATGAGAGGTAGCTTAGACAGCATCAAAGCTCTGTCAATTCCAACATTTGTCTTTAGGGTGGCACAAAAGGAGAAGGGAACTGGGGAAGATGCCAGGAAATGACCCAAAAAAAACCCCAAAACAAAACAAAAACCCTACAACCATCACAGACTACTGGTATCAAGGCACACAGCAGATGTGCTCCAAGGGCAAGCTTAGTCTCATCTTACCAGGGCAGAGCTGAATTGCATGGCTATGCTGCCAGACATGGGTATGACTCCTGGGTCAGCCATTTCGTCACTGTAGGGACTGGACCAAGTTATCTAAGATCTTTGAGTTTTCTCTCATCTATAAAATGGGAATAACATCCCACCTCCTGGGTTGGCATGAGCCATAAGCAGACTAGTGAATGTAAAGTCTATAGCAGGGCACCAGACATGCACGGAAGCAGCCGAGGAAGTGAGGTAGCCATCACGGAGGAGGAGAGGGAACACTTTCAAATGATTTGTTTCACGTATCAATCTTTTAATGCATTAAAAAAAAAAAAGACAAACTGGAAAACAGTTTTACATTGACCTAGAGGAGATCATCACATATAGCCATTTTAACAAACCCCACAACCACATATTAAGTCCAGACAGCTCCTGCTAGATCCTAACCTTCAAGGCTGAACTGTCTTACCCTGTTCACAGAAGAATCAAAGCATTAAGCAAAGCCAAGGTTCTCAGACCTTCCCTTCTAAATCTTCCTTTTAGACCAAGAGGACAGAGCAGAACCAGGCAGGGTTGTGTTTTTATTCAGGAGATGGTTAATAACAATATTGGAAAATTCATTTACTCCTTGGAGCTCTGTGCCCACAGAATGATTTAAGAGGCCCCTGTGTATATATGTGATTGGGTCTAGGTAGAGATATTTTGGTCTGAACTGTGAGGTTTATGGCAAATAGAGTGGATGAATGGCTCTAGGCCATAGGACAAGTGTCACAAATGCTACGTCTTCAAGGAAATAAGGCATATGCTGTTGCCTCCAAATACTGTGAGGCAAGTAAGTAGTGACTACCAGACTAGTCCATTCATATAGCAGACTCCTACTTGGGTCTTTGCAAAAATAAAATCTGGGTGCTGAGGGCCCCCCTTTTAGTGAAAGCCAAAGGCCCTAGAACAGAATGCCAGAAAGTCTTTTATTAATTACTCTGGGCTAAAAAGACACTTAAGGTCATTTCAGGAAGAAGAAAAATGCTAACCTCCCTTCAAGTTTTAGTAGCCAATAGGAATCTGGGCTCTGAAAAGTCACACATACTTTCCCCCTGACTGCAAGACCATGGGCAACTGTGGCAACTCAGGAAAAGTGAGAGCGAACCATGTGAGCAGTGTTTACTGTGGGCAGCTAATGGCCGTGAGCAGTAGAAGAGCTCACAGCCATCACACTGGGGCAGTGCTCTGCTCTGTGGGCCTGTTTTGGCAGAATCCCGTCATCCACAGGACCAAGGGGTGGGAGTGTTGGGAACAGATGATTCTGTGTTCCACAGATAATGGCATGAAGGGACCGTTAATAGATAAGGTTTAAGCACAGCATTTGGACACAACTCCTTTAGACATTCTGTTATTGAAGTCTTAAGAGCTTAGAACCTAGAAGGATTGAGAAATTCTAAAGAATAAAGACAAACAGAAAAAGAAGGTGAAAGGTATCAAAGACACAAGAGCTCTTTGTAGATGCTGGCTGGCTCACTTTGTCCTCAAGTTCATCTTAGAGCTCACATGAATTTGAGACATGAGGCAGAGACATTAGACCTGTGTCAAGGGCAAAAACTTCTGGTAGTAGCTCTTGGTGACGTCAATCATCAGCTCCTGGGTACATTCTGGGAGCTCCCCTGAAAATAGTCCTGGGAAAAGAAAGACCTGGTCAACCAACAGGAGCCGAGGGAGGCCAGCAGCTCTGATTTCTGTTTAAACCCCTATGGGCCCTTTTCTTTACTCATGAGTGTCTAAATGCTAGGTCTTCCAGCTTCAACGCTAGCAGAATATTTCTACTGACCATATCTTCAAGATGATATTTTTGTGTTGGGGGGAGACAAATAATGCAAATTCCCCGAATGGATAAAGACCTTCCAGGTAAAAGAGGTTCATACATTATTGCATGAGCTGAAGAGTTAAGGCATCTCCGATTACATGGGAGGTTGTTCCAGACAAGGATTTGCCCATGCCCTGGATTCTGATGTGACAAGCCCAGGTGAACACTCTCTGAGGTAAGAAACTGCTCTGTTGTTCATATAACGAAGCTGAATCCAATCCCCAAACCTGCTACATACAGAAAAATTGTGGATGGGAGTAGAACAGAAATATCCTACCAAAAGACAAAAAACTGTATTTAAGGATTTCAGGGAAAGAGGCACTCTCATCCACTATGGATAAAAGCATACGTTTGTACCACTATTTGGAAGAACAACTCTGGAAAATCTAGCAAAACTTTTAAAGGTTCATACCCTGTGATCTGACAACCCAACTTCTAAGAATTTATCTTACAAATAACCTTGCCCAAGTGAACAATATAAGTATAAGAATATTAATGCAGCAAAGTTTCTAATAGTGAAAAGCCAGGTACAATATCTAATGGTCCATTATTCCAGGAAACTGGTCAGTTACATTACGGTGTATTTATGTAGTGAAAACCACGCAACCATGAAAAGGAATGAGGGGAATCTCTACATACTGACAAGAAAAGATCCCCAAGATAAACTGTTAAAGCAAATTTCCAAACAGAATAGAAAGTGTGCATCTGTTTATACAGGTGTGAACAGTTTTATATACCCATGTTATATACAAAAGTACACACATATGCACAGATACGTACACACACCTGTGCATTAATGCACATACAAAACAAACACATACACTTGCATATATATACACGCAGAAAATAACAGGCAGGACAGAAAAAAGGTCTAAAGAATACAGAATCCTCAAAGGTACCTTTTATAAATGTGCAGTCTGTGTTAGATTTGCAAACATGTTTGGTCTGCACAGTATTTAATCTTTTTAAAAAGCTAGCAGCCAACATTTAAAAATTCAGAGATATCATGTAGATATGCAGATTTTTAGCTCCTCATGAACTATCAGAAATTCTTAAAATGTTAGCTCTGTACTCTTAGCCAGCCATGACAGGCTGTCATTTCAATCACGTCTGTCTGACTCCTACAGGCAGTTTTGGCTTTTTGGTTCCTGACCCAGATTCTTTCCGGATGGAAAGAATTGTCTTTTCATTTTATTCCACTACTCAGTGGAGCCCTCAAAAATGTGCCAGTTGTCCTAAAATTTTAGGTCTCTTTTTTAAAGACAGAGATTGCCAACAGCAATATCTAGATGGTTAACTTTTGTTTGTCAAACTACTAAAAATGAACATGGCAAGGACCTTGTCACAGCACAGAAAGTACTGGACTCTAAATATGGGGTCTTAAGAACTAATCAAGGCTTTCCCACAAACAACCTCTGACCCTGTGGACAACTCAATCTCTCTAGGCCTCAGTTTCCCCATCTACACAATCATCTCTAGGGTCTCATGCAGCCTGAATCCTCCATCAGAACCTCCAAACAGTGCTTACTTGGATTTCAAATACCAAGTGGTGTGTCTCCCTGTCTTGGCCATCAATGCCCAAAGACCACTGCTGGTTCTAAGGACCCTGAATAAGTTAAAAGAGATTAAGATATTACTCTGGTAATAGACTTCTCACCTCAGAGGGTGAGACGGTCTGACAATCAACCGAAAACAACCACTGAGGCTGTTCTGATCTGTGCATGCTAAGAACAATGATACTTTCTCACAGTGGGAACCCAATCTAGGGAGAATCACTCAGCAAGGCTCTCCTTCCTCCTCTGCAAATGCAGAGGTACATGGAACAGCAGAATGGCCCATTTCCTCCCCAAGGAATCTGAATGGATGATTTTGCACATCTTTGAAACCCACAGTCAATGATCTGAGTGATGAGTTTTTTAATTGGAAAAGCAACTAAACCACCAAGGGGTACATCTCATATATTGTCAAATCTCTCACTACATAGCATCTCCCATCTGTGAATCTCTGGTGTGCCTCTGTCCACGCTGCATGAGTTCAACCATGTAAAACCATCCACAGAAGAGATGAGACTGCCTTGGGGTAGGGGTGGGGGACATGAGGTTTTCTTCTTCTTTCTTCTTTCTTTTCTTTTCTTCTTCTTTCTTCTTATTTCCGCTTTCCTGTGTTTTTCAAGTTTTCTAGGAGGAGGGTATATTACTTTTGTTTGCTCACATGCTTGGCCATTGGGAACTCTGAGCTCACAAGGGCTTTACCTGAGGGCATTCTGTCAGCCAAATTAGAGAGGGGATGTATTTGCTTCTCTTGGGTGTCCCAGAGGTATCATTGGCCTTAGACCATGTTTTATGTTAACTCTTCAGTTTGGGCATTCCTGGGTAGTGTGGGAAGTATAAGTTCAAGACCCCAAACAACATGAAGCCATGTTAGAATTCTCTGGAAGATTTTTCCTTTTTCCACCCAGAGCCCAGACCAAGAAAGGCTTGCTTCTTTGTACTTTTTCTGTGCTGGTGGCAGGTTGACTCTAGATCAACTTTTATTGAGAGATCACCCTTCAAGAGGATCTCTCTGCCTTTCAAGGCTTTTTCTCTCATCCCCACAGGAGTATCAAACCTTAAACTACTCTATTTATTAAAAAGATGCATAAGCCTAACCAGGCTTATAGTGTGGGTTTAGTCTCCTCTTTGCTTCTGACCCTTGAAATTTCCTTGTGAACCCAACTGCACATTTAAAAAGATACTGGTTAGATTTTTAGATAGCATTTCTAGGTAATCTCTAGCAGGAGAATTTTTAAATTAGCTAGATCAATACATTGTCAAAGATAAAAATTGCATGCATTATTTTTGCGATGGAAAATGAGCCTGAGCTTTCATAATCAGCACCCAAGCTTACCTGGGCAGCCTGAGAAGATGGTGAATGGTGGCACCACAGTTTCTGGGGGTAATACTGTGTTGTCAAGAATTTTGCAGCAGTCTTTCAACACACATCGGCGCCCCTGAAATTAAAATCTTGTCACTAGGAAATAGAGCAGGAAATGCTCAAGTAGAAGTTGCCTGGTCTGCTGCATGGAATGCTATTTTATATTTTCTCCATTCATAATATCATACAATATATAGAGCCAAGAGGTTTGGCCACAATTCCCTACTTCAGGTAGCCCATGACAAGCAGGAAGAGGTAGGGGTATGAGTGTATGCATGAGCATGCGTGTGTGCATGAACTTGGAAAAAGGACAGTTCAGGTTATCTTAGATGTTACAGACTGAAATTCAGTTTCCCAAGAGTTGTACCATTTTCTGTCTTTTTTCTTAAATTTAGTGGACATCTACTTTTTTGTTTGTCCAACATTTGATCACCTTTCTTCTGGTAATAGTACCTGTATTGTCCTTGGTAACACCCTTCTGCCCCTGACAGTCCCCTATCCTAACCCCAAACCCCAAGCCTGGCTTCAAGGACTGTTTTATGGAATGAGCCAAATCAGTCTGATGAATCACAATATCAAGGCTTCTGCTGGCACTACTGGGAAAAGAAGTTCTTTCCATCGGGGTTTCTAGAGGACAGGACAGACATTTGGACCAGCTGTCTTGTTTCCACGAGGGAAGAAACTGCCTGAGAGCTTCCCAGAGGAAAGTGGGAAAGAGAAGGAGACTAATTCTCATGACATCAATTGAACCCCTAAAGCCACATGTGTACACAATTGGGATCAATTTTTACTCTTGGTTCATATTAGCCATAGTTTGTTTTGAAGGTTTAGGTCCAGCCTTATGCTTGACTTTATCCACTGCAGAATTGAAAAGTGGCAACTTTTCAATTCTGCATCACCCACAGCATTTTGAGGGCAAGAAATAAGGTCTGGAAGATACATCTGTTTCCTAGTTTAAGGGAAAGGGGAGGTTTCTTCTATAAATAGATTAAAGTTGTGCCTCAGACTACCTGCCGAGTAAGTGAAAGTTTCAGTCTTCACTGACTACTTTGACATCACCAGGGCCTGTGCATTCACTTGGTTCTGGTCAGAGGATCTGATAAAACATACTTGGCTGACAATGTGGAATCCCCAACAACATCAGGAGAATGCTAACCTGTCTAGATCTCAGATTTTACCAAAGAATATGAAAGATACTTTGATTTGGTTGTATTAAAATTTTCCTAATTACTAATAAATACCCAAATGTATGTATTTCCAGGGATGTCCAAGTCGATTGCTAAATGAATGTTTTAGAAAGCTTATACCTTGAAGGTCTAAAATTTTTAAGTGACTAAGCTGTCTCTGGCAAGGTGGATAATAGCCTTGGCAATACTTGGCACTATCCGTAGCTCAGAACAAGTTATAACTGCAGCTCTCCATTCATTCTTGGAAAGTTCCTTCCCATGAGTTACCTGCTAGTGGCAATTCCCAAAATACAGCAGGTGGCCAGCTCCCCTGATGACTCCCAAATTAACTTAAAGATGTCCTATGACACCTAGGCTCCTAATAATTCCAACTAAGCACATGGGGCACTGGGTGGAAAGAAGCTGAATGTGCTGCGTGAGGCATGACCCATTCACACAGAGGGCTCTGTAGACAAAGGGCCCTGGAAAAGAAGACCAGTGGGAATAAAACTTCCACTGTGTATCATCAGCCACCACCCAGCCTGGAGGCACCTGCTGGGTCCACTAGTTAGCCACTCTGCCCACTCAGGCAAATGATGTTCAATCAGCTTCTAGAGCATTCTGGGCAAACTAATCAATTAAACAGCAGCAGAAGTCAGAATGTGGGTACTTCTTAGGAATGAGTGTACTGGCAATAGATGAGGAGGTGAAAAGCTGAAACTGCTTCTTTATTCTTTCCTGGAGGACTTTCCCAGGAGGAGTCAAAAACTCCATGTTGCCAGTATTACGGCCACCTGTATCTCCTGACAGAAGTTACTCCACATCCTCAAGCCTTGGGCTCCTCCTCTGGGAAACAGAACATAAAATCAAACCTGCAGGGATGCTGTGAGGATTAGAGACAATGAACATAAAACTCACAGTACAGTCACAGTGCCCATGAAGACTGTCTGTGAGGCTCTTTCTGCAGGCACCTGGGCAACTCTGATGGACACTTATAACTTCACGCATCTGAACAGCAGTTAGATCACCAAATGGGTGCAGTCACAAGAGTCTGTGGGTCATGGGGACAGCTGGACTCTAAAAGAGTCCCTGCTAGCTCTGAGATTCTAGAGCTCTAAAAGGATCTTTCTCCTGAGATTACTTGGGAATTTGTAAAAGGCTCAGCAAATAGGTACTGCCAATACCCAACAGTGACGATGTCTGAAATGATGTATCAGAAAGTGGCACAAAAACGCAGAGTACGGGACAAAAAGACTAGAACTCCCTAAGCACTGGGAAGAGCATTTGGATTTTAACATTTCAGACATTTAGCTCCGGGGATAAAGGACGGGGCTAACACAGGAAACTACTATGAACATGTCATCACTCTGCAGAAGAGAATGTCGGAAAAATCCAGCTGTGGCTTAGAAAGCCAGCTTTTGTCACACAGAATGAGCAGACAGAATGGGTTTCACGATTTTCCCTCTTTCTTCAACATCATGCCAAACAAAAGACCCTCTGTTTCTAAGACATATGAAGGGACTTCTCTGGAGGAGAATATTTGGCAAGACAACCACTTCTCTTAATTCTGAATAACAGGTCAGACTGGGATGTTTTCCACAGCAATGTGGCCCTCCACGGCACGGTCCATCTTTGCTGTGCTCTCGTGGCTTGTAGAATGTGACTGCGTGGTTTATGCAAGTATTTTATACTTGAATACTATCCAGAACAGGGAACCACCTCTGTATTATTGGGAATAACCATTTAAGTCCTTGGCTTTTCCTAGAAGCTATGATTTGGGTATAAATTCAAAATCTAGGAGACATTTTCCCTAAACCTTAAGGCAGTTCAGCTCTGGTCATTAACATTCTCACCCAGGATGCGCCCATAAATCCCAACTGAAATCAAGCTCTTCATCAATGAAATACTAAGAAATCCAATTTCCGAAAGCCTTGGCCCGATGAAACGAGGAGACGCCAAGCCTCCTGAGCACTGAATGTCCAAATGTCCACTGAACAAGGGCCCATGCGTGCCCTGCACACCCACCGCCCTGAACTACTTACAGTTCCCTTAATGACACGCCCCTTGTCCCCCCACTAGACTGTACGATCCTGGAGGTAAAGCACCAGGCAGGCCATGGAGCAGGCACGGCTATTCATACCGCCTGGGCTCAAATCTCAGCTTTCCACTTCACAGCCCTGTCAAATCCCTAATTTCTAAGGTCTCCAGGCTTATCACCTAGGGATAGTAACAGTTAGCTACCACCCGTAGATGGTTATAAGGGTCAAATGAAATAATCAAAGGGAAGAGTTTAACATCATATAGAAGAAATTAGATAAAATTTAGCCATGATTATTAATGCCTAGAAATCTTCAAATCCAGTAATAATCCCAGTAGACCAGAAACTACTTCTACCCTGCTTGGCCACAGCAGCAGAGGCCCACGGATGTGAGGGACGGAGCTGGAGGACAGGGAAGCTGTTTAGGCAGCCAAGACACCATACTCACAATCACACAGTTCTTGCCAACGTGAACGTATGAGCCAATCTGAGCTGCGTTGACCACACAATCTTCCTCAATAAAGACATGGTCCCCGATATGTAAAGGAAAGAATGCAACGCTAGAGAAGGAAAAGAAGATGAACAACAACAAAAAAAAGGTCAAGGTGATTTGCTTTCGGTCAAGGTTTATAGAACTGCTGATCATACTCTCAACTTCATCATCTTGTCTTAATAAGACTGCTCCTAGCAAGGAAGGAATCCTCAGGCTAAGAGAATTCTATGATGTTGGAGATAAATGTGATTACTAGCCCAAAATCAGAAATATTGGACCGGGCAGTGTACGAGGAAACAGCAAGACCAAAGTGGCAAGACCTTCCAAGCTAAAAGAGCTGGCACCAATGAATGAATGTTTTGCTCAGTCCTGCCTCCTTGGAAAGGCTCATAGGTTACATATTTGGTAATCTGCCCAAGATGTTGTAGGGGACTGACATCAGTTCCTGGGATATATTTTCTACTATTCAACATTCCAAAAATTTGTATATTCACTGATTTTACTAAGTGCCTATTTGCCAGACTCTATGTTAAAAATTGGAAATATAACGGCAAGCAAAAATGACACTATCCAGCCCATAAGGAGACAGCAATCAAGAAGATTAAACAAATGATTATTTAAGTAGTTATTTACAACTATGATAAGTACTACAGAGTAAAAAATACCAAGTTATAAGTAGAGACTTTACCTAGATTATTAGTTTGGTAAAAGTATAATTTTTTTTTAAGATTTTATTTATTTATTTGACAGACAGAGATCACAAGTAGGCAGAGAGGCAGACAGAGAGAGAGAGGAAGGGAAGCAGGCTCCATGCTGAGCAGAGAGCCCGATTCAGGGCTCGATCCCAGGACCCCGGGATCATGACCTGAATCGAAGGCAGAGGCTTTAACCCACTGAGCCACACAAGCGCCCCAAAAGTTTAATTTTAAGTGACATTTAAGGGGCATCTGGGTGGCTCAGTCGGTTAAGCACCTGACTTTGGCCCAGGTTATGATCTCAGAGTCCTAGGATCAAGCCTCATATTGGGCTCTGCACTCAGTGGGGAGTCTGATTCCTCTCTCCCTCTCCCTCTACCCATCCCCATGCTCGTCTGCCCTCTGAATAAATCTTTAAAAGAAAAAGTGACATTTAAGCCAAGACCTGAAGGATGAGTAGGAGTCAGTAAGCTTTCTCCAGACTTCTGACATCACTGCTATTCTCCATGATTCCTCAAATGTCATTGACAGTGGTTCTATGATCACATTTACAAGTAACTTCAGTACCTTGGGATAGAAAATATTTGGACTAGAACTAAAATAAAGTAGCTGGATGCTCACTGGCTCTATCTAGTCCTGTGCTCTGTTTTGTCAGGAATATTTTGTCAGAGAGGATACCTGTCCTCCCTGGACCTATAGCTTATTTAAATTTTCCTTAATCCATTTGTATTTTTGATCTGGGACCCTTGTGTGACAATGAATTCCTTGATCTTATCAGTCTATAGCAGCACTGTCAGCACCTGAATTTTAAATTAAAAATTCCAAACTTGATATTATTATCCAGTTCTATGATCTATTATCTAGTTCTTGTATAGAGCTATGTGAGGTGGGGGACAGGGGAATCCATACTTACTTGCTGTTTCTGTGTTGCTATTTACACTTTTGTATTCCTATATTTCCCATGACTATTCCTAATTACACAACCTACTGTTCACCAATAAACCCCCTATTTATTCTCAGTGCTTTTCTGAGACCACAGCCAGCACAGTAATGCTGCTATCAGAAGGGGGAGCCAACAACTCGGGCAGAGAACCTGTCACAGTGTGGAACCACAAAAGCCCACCGCAAGGATTTCTCATTTCCCCCAACAGCCTTCTGAGCTAATAAGCAAATGTTTTCACGTGAATGATTTGCCCTGGCTCCCTGCTCCCATTCCTGTATGTAATGGAAAGCCTGGAGTCTGACTCCATTCTGAGACATGCAGGACGATTCCTGTGTGCTTCACTCCTTGGTAGTACAGTCTGAGTTGGTTGCTCTCTTTACTGTTCCTTCCTAACCGTGTTCAGCCTTGTGACAGGACTGTCACATTATACAGGGGCTATCACAATATAGTATCACATTCTATAGTAGTCATCTATGTATGTAAGTGTTTCTACCACTAGGTTTTTGAAAACTGTAAGGCAGGAATGTTATTTCATCCATCTTTTATGTACCCACCTTATAATCTACTGACTGACATAAGAAAGCACTCAATCAGTGCTTGCTGAATTACTCAATGAAATGCAGATGATGCCATAGGTAGAAGCCGGAGGGAAAAGAGGGAGAGGTAAAAACAACATCAACAAAAATATACCAGCACATCAAGCATAGCTGACAGTTTTCCTGCCCTGTCCATGACTTCCCTGGATAATCCTTATTACCATTGAGAGAACAGTGGGCCTGACTTGTCTCTGCCCTCCTGGTCAAAACTGTTTAGACCAGGGGTGGGCACTTCACTCCAGCTGAGCCAATCAGATTCCCTCTGCCAAGATTCTGGAAGTAAGACCTAAAATCTTTGGCTGCTATCTGTTGAAGCCTAAATAGAGAACTGATATAAATAATGAGCTGAGGCAGAATGGTTGGCTCCACGAGAAAAGGGGGAAGACAAAGTCAACATGAAAGAGAGGAGAGGGAAGCAGAAATGCAGAGACAGAGACCAACAAGAAACAACATAATCTCGGTGATAGAGCGACAGACAGAACAGCTGTCTTGATTCTGGCTAGCTATTCAAGTATAAGTTCTAGTCCCTATGAGGCCTGGCCCCTTTTCCTACCCTTATATTCCATAAATATGCCTGCATCTCTTCATCAGAACCCCCTCTGCCTTTGCCAATTCAAGTGGATTCTGTTTCTGGCAACCAACCAACAACCAGACTAAGACAACCACCACCAGAGTTGAGTTCATTACAGTGAATTCCTCCTCAGTGACCCAAACAATAGCACAGACCCACTCCTTACACCACAACTCAACACTTGGAATACACCACGCGTAGCAGCGTCTCGCACATGACTGAAATTAGGTAAGTAAATTACATACCCTTTGCTGAATTTCTTGAATGGTGGCCTTATGACACTCCGACTTTTCACAACACAATGACGTCCAACTCTTACATTTGCCAGATCCCCTCGGATAATACAGTCATTCATCACAATGGTCTACAAAATAAAGCACATTTTATTTTTTTTTTTTAAGATTTTATTTATTTGACAGACAGAGATCATAAGGAGGCAGAGAGGCAGGCAGAGAGAGAGGAGGAAGCAGGCTCCCTGTTGAGCAGAGAGCCCGATGCCGGGCTCGATCCCAGGACCCTGGGATCATGACCTGAGCCGAAGGCAGAGGCTTTAACCCACTGAGCCACCCAGGCACCCCCAAATAAAGCACATTTTAAAAAGCTACCAACATGGCCTGAAATACAACAAAAAAGAGTAGGTAAGAAGACACTGAAGTTATGCTATGATCTAGTGAGTCACATGTTCTCTCAAAAGGGATAACTTTAAGGTAATGAGAACCGCCTTCTTAACACTGTCTCAGCTGAAGATGTTCCCAGCATACCATGAGCTTTGCTCTTAATATCCCATAAACAGGACTTGTTGAATGAACAGATCTTTACTAAGAATGCCTTAGTTGACCTAGTTTACTCACCTTCTCAGATTCACTTGGTTTTACCTGCCCTTAAGCCTTGGCTGCTTGCTAAGTGAGAATCCAGGCTGCTCCTACCTTTGTCCAATCTCCCAATACTACTGACTGTCTCCAACTTCATGCTCCTGGAGGTAGACCTATTGAGCTCCTGGTTCCTCTCCCAAATTCTGGACTCAGATGAAGTGCAACATTGCAGGGTATGATATCCAGCTGCCCCGAAGATTGCCTAGATAGGCTGCAGGGGTGAAAAACGTAACTCAGAAGTGTGGGGGAATTAATACCCCATACTTGGTAAATAGGTACTCTGGAAATGTCTTCTGAATAAATGAGGCAAAAAAAAAAAAAAAGTGCATATGGCCGGGAAAAGTAAGCTGTGACTAGGACTCATGAGGTATTATGTATGCTTAGGCTTTTTCCCTAGAGGATATAAGGAATCAAAGTTTTTAAGCAGAGGATTAACAGACTGAATCTTTATTTTAGAAATATTACTCTGAAAGCTGTCTACAGTGAATGGAGGGGGCAGGTAAGACTAGAGAGAAAGTGACACTTTAGATGACTACAGTGAATCAAGGTAAAATGAGAGGATGGGCCTTCTCTATAATAGTTGTGCATGAAGAAAAGAGAAATGGAAGGTAGAGGAATCTGTTCAAGCCTCTAGATCTACTAATTAAGAGGGAAGAGAGGGGCAGAGAGACCACATTCAACAACTGTGTAAGTAGAATTGGTCAAATTAAAAGTTTGAAAATTCTACAGAACTATGAGCCAGTCTCTTCAACATATAAGCGGCATGGGGAGAACAACAAGCTGGGGGAAAAGAACTGTTACAGATTTGAAGGGTACTAAGAGATACACCAACCAGATGCAATGTATACTTGACCTTGTTTGGATCCTGATTTGAATAAACCAACAGTAAAAAGACATGTTAAGATACTAGAAAGATCGGGGCACCTGGGTGGCTCAGTGGGTTAAAGCCTCTGCCTTCGGCTCAGGTCATGATCCCAGGGTCCTGGGATTGAGCCCATGCTGGGCTCTCTGCTCCGCAGGGAGCCTGCTCCTCCCCTGTCTCTCTCTTCCTGCCTCTGCCTACTTGTGATCTCTGTCTGTCAAATAAATAAATAAAAATCTCTTAGAAAGATACTAGAAAGATTGAACATGAACTGAGGATTATATGATACTAGAAAATTACTGGTTTCTTAAAAAATATATCATGATAAGGGTACTCTACTCATTTTTTAAAAAWTTTTTTTAAAGATTTTATTTATTTGACAGAGCAAGACACAGCAAAAGAGGGAATACAAGCAGGGGGAGTGGGAAAGAGAGAAGCAGGCTTTCCGCCAAGCAGGGAGCCCAATGTGGGGCTCAATCCCAGGACTTCAGAGTCCTGAACCTGAGCTGAAGGCAGCCGTTTAACAGCTGAGCCACCCTGACACCCCTAAAATCTTTAAATCTTAGTGATATATACTAAGTATTTATGTGTGAAATAATACAGTGTTTGCAATTTGCTTTAAAATACTCCAACTCCCTGCCCTCTCCCTGGTCAAAATAGGTATGGGTTTGTGGGGCAGGTACAGAGATGAAACAAGGATGTCAAAATAACTGCATAAGCTGGTGAATGAGTATATGGAGGTTCATTATACGTTCTCTCTACTTTGGACATGTCTAAAAAGTTGCATAATAGGGGCGCCTGGGTGGCTCAGTGAGTTAAGCCTCTGCCTTCGGCTCAGGTCATGATCCCAGGGTCCTGGGATCGAGCCCCGCATCAGGCTCTCTGCTCAGCGGGGAGCCTGCTTCCCGGCCCCCCTGCTTGCCTCTCTGCCTACTTGTGATCTCAGTCTGTCAAATAAATAAATAAAATCTTTTTTTAAAAGTTGCATAATAATACCAGTGTACACAACAACATGGATAAATCTCAAAAACCTTATGCTGAGTGAAAGAAGGCTGACAACAATGAGTACATGATTCCGATTACAGGCAACTCCAGAAAATGCAAACGTAATCTCTATTAGTGTTGTATCAGTGGTTATCTGGGGCCAAGGGTAGTAGGAAGACTGACTGCAGAGGGGTCCAAGGAAATGAGGGTGATGGAAATATTTTATATCTTAATTGTGGTAGTGGCTACATAGTTGTAAGCATCAGTCAAAACTTGTCAAACTGCAGGACACCTGGGTGGCTCAGCTGGTTAAGCATCTGTCTTTGTCTTGGATTATGGTCCTGGCGTCCTGGGATCGAGCCCCAAATCAAGCTCCATACTCAGTGGGGAGTCTGCTTCTCCCTCTCCCTCTGCCTCTACCCCCTGCTGTGCTTTCTCTCTCCTTTTCACTTGCTCTCTCTCAAATAAATAAATCTTAAAAAAAAAAAAAAAACTTGTCAAACTGCACATTTAAAATGGGTACACTTCATTGCATGTAAATTGTGTCTCAATAAACATAACTTTTAAAATGTTCCACTGTAGGGGCACCTGGGTGGTTCAGTCAGTTAAGCATCTGCCTTCGGCTCAGATTATGATCTCGGGGTCGTGGAATCAAGCCCACACTGGGCTCCCTGCTCAGTGGGGTGTCTGCTTGTCCCTCTCCCTCTGGCCCTCTCCCTGCCTCATGCTCTCTTTTGGTCTCTCTCTCTCACATAAATAAATAAAATCTTTAAAATAAATATTCCACTATAAAATGTTAAAAATGAAAAAAAAGGGGAAGAGAATCTATATGATCTGGTCATTGTTTAGATATTGGGGAAAAAGAGAAAGAGAGTCCAGGATGAAAGTCTAGAATAGGGTGCGCAATTCTGGGGACTGGACTGGATGACAAATTCAACTGTGAAATGTTATTTGAGGTATCTGTGGGAAAACCAACTGGCAGTTATAAATGAAGGTCTGGGGCCCAGGACAGAAGATCAGGGTACGGATGTAGATGGAGAACACCTCAAATACAGGTAAATTTAGATATGTCACTTGTCTGAACACCAGGCTCTGAGAAATTACTAAAAATGAAGTGGGCTCATACTTCGAAAAGTTTACCAATCTCACCTGCATATATGCTCAGTCTATAAAACCTCTACCAGTAAAAAGACAATTTCTCATCAGCTGTTGACTTAAATGACTATAGTTCCTGTTGGTTTTTAAAAACAGTCTACTTCAAGGTTAAGGAGATATCTGTTTCTAGTATGTACTCTTTCATCTGAAATCCTTCATTTACTTTAACCATTGTTTTCTGTTTATGCTTCCATCTACAATCAGAGAAAATGACTTCCTTTTCTTTGGAAGAAAGCAGAATACCAAGAAGTTCTGAGTATTTGGTAATGGTTGTTTTTGTTATACTGTGTTTTAAACAAAGATAGCAATCTTAATCTGGAAATAAAGAAAATCCATAAAAGTCCCTTAGGCAGCCTAAATTACACTCCCATTTGGAGAGGCAAACACGGAAAACATAAGTAATGGATATCACAGGAGGTCAAAGAGATTTAACGTGAGCGACTCAAATCTTGGTTTCCTGTCTCATAAAGAGTGGAGCTGAAGATGAGAAGTCAGATTCAAAACAGAGGCAGCAGGATGTTAAAATGAAAGTGAGTGCATATAAGGACCTCACAGGGAAGAAAATGGTAGTAGAGCAGAGTTCACTGAACTCGACAAAGGATAAGGCAGAGGTGGTAAGCTGGAGGTCTAAGAACTGCACCCAGAAACCTGTTTTGTTTGGCTCACATAGCCTGTTTCATCATTTAAATTTAGTACTATTATTTGAATAGTGGGACATTTTGCACTAAAAAAAAATCCAGACTTCCAGTTTCTTTTGAGAAAATATAGGCCTATATTCCCACATAGCAACAATCAGTTTGAGTTTGGCTAGAACATGTACGCGTCAACTGACCAGATCCCACCACTCCCTGTTGTTGGCACCCAGTCTTCCTTACTCATTTGACCCCTGCCTAACCCTATAGGCACTGTGACACCTGATATAAGGGTTTAGGAAAATAGAAATCTGTAAGGGACAAAACAAAAAACTGGGAACAAAATAACCAATAGGAGAGGGGATAAATGGAACCGTACACAGTAGTGAAAATGCACAAACCACAGTGAATCACAGAAACAGGATTGAGAACAAAGGTCCTTATTAAGTGTGATAGGTGTTTCCTACTGTGGTTATAGTAGTAAGTGAGCATTAAAAAAGTAGATAACAGAAAGCCAAGTAAAGCTAAAGTATATACGTGTATAGTTTACATGGATGTAAACATGTATATATGTATTAGTTTACAACCAACAACATGGATGAACTTTGAAAACATTATGGTAAGTGAAATAAGCCACACAAAAAAGGACAAGTATTATAGATCTAGATTAGGCAAATTCACTGAGACAGGAAGTGGACTGAGGTTATTAGTGACTAGGCCCCGTGTGGGAGGCAGGAGTGGGGAAGATGGGGAGGAAAGAGGGAGTAATTCCTAAATGAGTATAGAGTTTCTGTCCGGGTGGTGAAAGTTTTAGAAATACATAGTGGTGATCATTGCACAATGGTTGTAAATAGAATATATATTTTTAAGTAGGCTCCACACCCAGCGTAGAGCCCAGTGCAGAACTTGAACTCATGACCCTGAGATCTAGACCTGAGCTGAGATCAAGAGTAGTATGCTCAACCAAATGAGCCACTCGAGCACCCCAATTTTAAATATAATTAACACCAATGGATTGTACACTTAAAGACAAAGTGGCAAATTTTGTCACATGTATTTTATCACAATTTAATAAACAGATGTTTCCTAAAAATCACAGAAAATGTTTTGAAATTACCTAAGGGATTTTTTAAAAACTCCACAATTTGCTAATCTGCTAATCAGATTGGGATTAACGGATTTTCTAATTCTGTGCAGGAAAAGTGTGTCTGTAATTACTAGTTATACTTAATTATTGAGCTACGCTTCTATTAAATCTCATGTTATGATGAGCTAATGGAGACAGCAATTGTCTCTACTAAAAAAATTTATGATTGCTTGATTATAGTGAGACTGTCTTCCCTTTTAATTTAGAGATATAATATTTCAAAGACAAATGGCAGGAAAAACAGTGGACTTCAGTGTTTGTCACGCTCAAATATATCTTGATATTTTCTCTGGTTCTGATATGTCCTAATATTATTCCCATGTTTATACTTTTCTCTCTGCTATTTCAGTTCATTCAGACTACAAATTCTCAGCCTATCATATTCCATTTTGCAAAGCTGTTTCATAGTTTAGTGTCTTTCCCAATTCTCTCTTTAAATTTTATTTGTTTGACACAGAAAGAAAGTGCATAAGCAGGGAAAGAGGCAGAGGAGAGGGAGAGAAGCAGACTCCCGGCTGAACAGGGAGTGCAACTCAGGGCTTGACCCGAGTTCAAGGACCCGAGGGCGCCTGGGTGGCTGAGTGGATTAAGCCTCTGCCTTCATCTCAGGTCGTGATCTCGGGGTCCTGGGATCGAGTCCTGCAAGGGGCTTTCTGCTCAGCAGGGAGCCTGCTTCCCTCCTTCTCTCTCTGCCTGCCTCTCTGCCTACTTGTGATCTCTCTCTCTCTCTGTCAAATAAATACATAAAATATTTTTAAAAAAAGAGTTTCAGTTAATGTTGAATCATTATTACTAAACAATTATATTATTATACTTTATAGCTTCTACACTTAAGTGTTTCGGTGCCTATTTATGTTTGTGTCCGGTAGTTTAGGGCACACTACAACACTTCATAATAATTTCAGTTCTGGGTGCCATGCATAAAGGGGAAAAGGTTTTCTGTTGCCTCCTTTTATTGAGTCTTTTTTGTATTCAATACAATTTGGAGAATGAAAATAAGGGAAATTTTAAATGTACAGCAATAAGTGGGAGACGTGGCAACATATTCTCTGCCCTCCTAATGTGATAACTAGTGGAAAGAAAGCAAAGGCATGCATCCTGGAACTGGCTTTGTCCCTTACCTTGCCATTGAGAACGATGTTCTGACTTCCGCACAATACCGACTGGCGACTAACTTTGTTTCCAGATGCCTGAAAGCAAAGAGCAGAAAATGGGGCTGTGCAAACTGAGTGGATTCTGGGCTACGGGTTTCCATCCAAAAAAGCTGCTACCAGAGAGGAAAGGACTTTCAATGGGGCGAAGTCCCCTGATATCCTGAGTACGGGATATCAAAGCAAAGATGGATTAGGAAACTAGGGATTCCAAGAAGGGAATCCAGAATTTGGACGTGGTAGGTCTAGAGCCTGATAACATCAGAGACGGGGATTCAAGTTTCAGTTCTACACTTGTAGCCCTAAATCCGGGATACCGACTTAACCGATATCAGAGTTGCAAGAATTCAAGCAACGCTGACTGAGCGCTTACCCTACTTCGAGCAATTTACACACATCATGTATTGACTAGAAAGGACCTAACCGTCTTTCAGCATACAGTAATAAATTACGACACGTTAGTTAAAAAACAAACAAACAGACAAACAAAAAACACCCTTCTGAAAGGCTCGAAGCCTGGAGTTCTTGATATTAAGGTGGATGAGACTTGTCCTGCTTTCTGGAAGGCATTTTATCTTTAGGAAATAAGGAATAAGTAAAAAACCTAAACCTGCCATGCAAGGAATAAATAACAAAGCCGGGCCATTCACGAAGTGACTGTAGGTAATCTCGGACTAAACGCCAAAGGGATCCGGGATGGGATAGGGACAGGATGGAGACACCAGCTTCGGAGGGACGCAGGCTCGGAAAAGGGAGGGCAGATGTCTAAACACGCGTACCGTCTCAATGTACTCGGACTTGTTGTAAAGCAGCTCGCCCAACTCCATGGCCACCAACTTCCCGCAGCTCCGTTCCTGTCAATGCCTGTCAGCCGGTCAGTCTGACTGGAATTCGGGCGACTTCCGGCCGCCCCTCCACTTCCGCCCGCTCCTCCACTTCCGCTCTGGGCGTCCTGCGCTCTGATCCGCAGCTCGGCTCTCCGCTAGTTGGCCCCACTCCATTACTCGGCCGTCTCCGGCTGCGCGTGCGCAGGTCGAGCGGTGGCTGTAATTGGCCGGGGGAGACGGCGCGCGGTTCCTGCATGGGCAACCTGGTGGCGCGCAGTGGGTATTCCACGTGCCCGGTTTCCTTCCGCGGCGCCTGCGGGGCCCAGAGCCAGCTGGGACCCTCGTGTCCGCAGGCCCGGGGCCGGCGACCGCTGCTCCTTCCGTTCGACTTCCAGCCCAATGGAAGAGCCTCCCGGGAAGCCCCTCAGCTGTGAGGAGAAGGAAAAGGTGCCCTGGGTGTGCGGGAAGGGCTGACTCAGAACTGACTCCTTGCCTAAGATTTTAGGCGTGTCTTTGTTTCCTCGACCGTCCGGGGGTGGCCGTGACCTCTGACCTACGGCCTTGAACAAATTTTGAAGAACCAAGTACTTTTTGACATCCTCGCCACCCCCACACACTCTCAATCTTGGCTTTTCCCGCCCATTCCCTTAAGTAGATCTCTGAACAGCCTAATGATTCAGACCTTTTCGCGCGTGTATGGGCGGAGGTGGGATATTTGGAAGGATGTGGTTGTATTCCCTAACCACCCCCCCCCCCAAATAGTGTGGTTTTCGGTCCACAAATAGTATAAGCCGAATGGTTCTGCAACTTCCGTTTTACTTATCCGGGTTTCATCCATGTTAATGTTAACCTACCTTACTTTTTGAAGTTCTTCATAGTGTTATGTATTATGAAAGTGTCATCTTTTCGTTCGACAAGTTGGAGAGACTTTGAGGGTTGTTTCCAGCTTTTGCTTCTACAGCAGTGCTGCTCTGACCAATCCTTACCCATACCACTTTGTGCTCCTGCTGATGATGTTAGCCTGAAAGTATCTGTGCTGGCTGTTCCAGGCACTGTGCTAGATTCTTCATTCACATTAGTTATCAGTCCTCTTATCCCAGCCTGCCTTCCAGTGGAGGGTGAGATAGATCATTTACAAGTCAAGAAGATAGTTCTTAAACGTTGATAAGGTTGGTGGTAAAGAGGACCCTGTGGGAAGCAAACTAGCTTAGAGATTAAGAGCACAGATTCTAGAATCCAACTACCTGGGTTTTGATCATGCCATTTATAACTGTGTGATCTTGGACAAATTGCTTTTCCTCTGATCTTCCCAAAGCTACCTCCTTCCTCCTTTAGTTCCGGGCTTCACTGGTAGTCCTCAGAAATTCCTCTCTGGCCACGCTACCTAAAGGAGCTCAGGCACTCTCACATCTCCCTGTTGATCTGGGTGTAGAGTACCATGTGATATCCTCTTGTCTGTGTATTCATTTTCTTATTAATTATCTGTATCCCTCACTTGTTAAGCTTGACGACCCTAGTTCTAGCATCCGAGACCATAACTGAGAGTGGTTATCAGTTGTTGTTCCAGGTACTACAGATACCGGGACCTTTAACTGACAAGAGATTCATTTGTTGGATGAATGTCTGAGGATGACAGCTCCTGCCACCTTCAGGGATCTCCCAGTGAGATGGAAGGAAACAGAAGTAAACAGACAGCAGAGTATATAATAAGTATTGTGATAAAGGAAGCACAGCAGAGAGGTGGAATGTCCCACCTGGATTTCAGGAAGGACCTAGAATAAAAATCGAAGTTGAGGCTTGAGGAATCAGTAGGACTTAGCAAAATGATTTGGGGAGGAAATGCTCCACGTGGTAGGAAGTGTTTAGGTCAAGGTGCTTAGGTGTTAGAGAGCTTGGTGCTTTGTGAAAACTGGAAGAAGTGTGGAACTTGCTACTTCCTCCTCTATCTGTTGCTGAGGGACCTGCTAAGCACTGCTTACTCGGGTCTGATAGGCACTGTATCCCTTCTCTCTGACTCCTCCTTTCTACATGCTCAGTATTGTTTGCTGTTTTTCTTCTTCCAGTTGAAGGAAAAATTAGCGTTCTTGAAAAGGGAATACAGCAAGACACTGGCCCGCCTTCAGGTGAGTGAATCTTAACTCTCTCAAACTGAGATATTGTAGGATGAACTATATACAAACAATTCTTCGTAATAATAAAGCTTTAAAAAAATACTTATTTTTCTTACATTTGTTCCTTGAGCGGCTTTTGTTTCCTCTAGCGTGCCCAAAGAGCTGAGAAGGTTAAGAATTCTGTTAAGAAAACAGTGGAAGAACATGATTGCTTGCTCCAGCAGGAAATTTCACCACAGCCGAACCACTCAGGTGAAGCTAGTGCTTATTACTTATGCTTACTGTATTAAAGTGTATATATAATTCAGTGGTTCATTGTGTATTCACAGGATTGTGCAAACGTCATTATCATCTAATTCCAGAACATTTTCACCACCCTGAAAAGAAGCCCTACACCCATCTTACTGCCAGCCCCTGGCAACCCCTAATCTACTTTCTGCCTCTGTGGCTTTACCTATTCTGGACAATCCATATGAATGGAGCCATGTAATATGTGATCTTTTGTAATTGACTTCTTTCACTTAGCATTGTGTTTTCAACAGTCATCCCTCTGTACTTACATCCAAGCATGCATTAGTACTTCACTTCTTTGTGCAGCTGAATACCATTCCATTGGATAGATGTGCCACAATTTATATATCCATTCATCAGTGGATGGACATTTGGGTTGTTTCTACTTTTTAGTTATTATGAATTTTGGCCATTATGCTGCTATGAACATTCATATGCAAGTGTTTGTGGGGACGTATGTTTTCGGTTCTTTTGGGTTTATCATTAGGAGCAGAATTGCTGGATCATATGGTGATTCTCTGTTTAACTTTTTGAGAATCTGCCAAACTGTTTTCTGCAATGTCAGTACCATTTTACATTCCTACCACGATGCGCAGGGTTTCCAGTCTCTGCACATCCTCACCTATACTCGGCATTTTCCATTTTTAAAATTACAACCATCCTAGTGGATGTGAAGTGGTCTCTAATTATGGCTTGGATTTGCATTTCCTAGTGACTAATGTTGAGCATGTTTTCATGTGCTGTTGGCCATTTTTATATCGTCTTCAGAGAAATACCTAGTCCTTTGTCAATATTTTAAATCCGTTATTTGCCTTTTTGTTCTTGAGTTGTAAGTGTTCTTAATGCATTCTAGCTATTAGGTCCTTATCAGATACACACTTTGTAAATATTTTTCCCGTTCTGCGAGCAATGAACTATTCTTTTGGTTGAATTGTTCATTTGGTTGCTCTTTCCCCTCTCAACGTTTAGAAAAAAAAAATTAAGCATTTGTATATGCACAGAGAAAAAAATCTGGCCAGAGGTGTTCTTAAAAACAATGGTCATGGGCACCTGGGTGGCTCAGTCAGTTAGGCATCTGCCTTTGGCTTGGGACGTGATCCCAGAGTCCTGGGATCGAGCCTCACATTGGGCTCCCTGCTCAGCAGGGAAGACTGCTTCTCCCCCTCACCGCTCATGCTCTCTCTCACTCACTCTCTCTCTTTCAAATAAATAAATAAAATCTTTTAAAAAAAACCAACAACAACAACGTCATGATTCATGTTAATAGGTATTTATAATCATAAAATTGGAGACTATTGAAATAGAAAGGTGGTATTAAAATTACTTGAGCAGGAAAAAAAGACATGAAATAAAAAATTAGGTGAGATGGTGGGGGAAATGGGAAGGTATTGTTCAAAGGGTGTAGAGTTTCAGTTATGTAGAATGAATAAGCTTTGATATACAGCATGGAACCAACAGTTAATATTACTGTATCATATACTTGAAATTTGCTAGAAGAATTGATCTTAAGTGTTCCTACCACACACACACACAATCATAACTATGTGAAATGATGGATATATATTTTTTTAAGATTTCATTTATTTGTCAGAGAGAGAGAGAGAGAAAATGGCAGGCAGAGGGAGAAATAGGCTCCCTGCCAAGCAAGGAGACCAATATGGGACTCAGTCCCAGCACACTGGGATCATTACCTGAGCCCAAGGCAGATGCTCAACTGACTAAGCCATCCTGGCATCCCTGGAAATATTTGTTTTAAGATATATTTATTTGAGAGACAGAGAGAGAGAGAGAATGTGGGGAGGAGGGGCAGAGAGAGAAAATCCCAGTCCAACTCCCACTGAGCACTGAGCCTGACAGAGGGCTTGATCCCACACCCCAAGATCATGACCTGAGCTGAAATCAAGTGTCAGATGCTTAACTGACTGAGCCACCCAGAAATGATGGATATTTTAATTAGCTTGATTGTGGTAATGTTTCACAACATATACCTAAATGAAAACATCTCAGTGTGTACCTTAAATACATACAGCTTTATTTGTCAATTGTACCTCAGTAAAGCTGGAGAAAAAAAACTAAAGAATTAAAAAAACAAATCTTCCCTTTTGTGTTTAAAATAAAATATCTCTGCAAAAAAAAAAAAGAAAAAACTAAAGAAAGATGACTGCAATATAGATTATCTTTTAGTTTAAAATCATATTTTCCAGCACAATTGTTTGTTTATATTTCCTTAAAATTATTAGTGTATTAGAATATTAAAATTTGAACTTTGAGCTGCCTGAATGAAATACCATTGACTCTTTCTTAAATAACGTAGTACTTTTTTTTTTAAGATTTTATTTATTTATTTGACAGAGAGAGAGGGATCACAAGTAGGCAGAGAGAGAGGGGGAAGCAGGCTCCCCCCTGAGCAAAGAGCCCAATGTGGGGCTCGATCCCAGGACCCTGTGAACATGACCTGAGCCGAAGGCAGAGGTTTAACCCACAGAGCCACCCAGGCACCCCTGCAGTACTTTTTTTTTTTTAAGATTTTATTTATTTGACAGACAGAGATCACAAGCAGGCAGAGAGGCAGGCAGAGGAGGAAGCAGGCTCCCTGCAGAGTAGAGATCCCAATGTGGGGCTCGAACCCAGGACCCTGGGATCATGACCTGAGCCGAAGGCAGAGGCTTTAACCCACTGAGCCACCCAG